CACACACACACACACACACACACACACACACACACACACACACACACACACACACACACACGCAGAGAGAGAGAGAGAACGAAAAAGACAGAGAGAGAGAGAGACAGAACGAGAGAGAGAGAGAGAGAGAGAGAGAGAGAGAGAGAGAACGAAAAAGACAGACAGACAGAGAGACAAACGCAGACACACACACACACACACACACACGCACACGCACACACACACTCACACACATACACATAGACGCATGCATTCATACACACACAGGACCAAGTTTAGAAGGTATGGAGGATTTATTTGTCGAACTTTGGTGGTAAATTTGTCTCTTATGGCCGCAAACTCGCCGGCCAAAATTGCGAAGAGATAACTTGGCTTGGGATGCGGGTCTGTGAACACTGCAAAGTGCCGATCAGGAGAACCGTGCACGAGCCCTTCCTCTGTCTTGTTGCCGTTGCTCAGGAGGACCGGATATTTCGCCTTGTTTGCTTCCAGGCGAACCTGTAGATTACCAAAAGTACTGGAACCTGCTGCGCATTCTCCAAAGACGCGGGAAGGAGAGAAAATTGGATGCTGTGTAATTATTGAGCCCCTCCAACGCACGTTTATGCTACATGCTACCAAAAGTGAGGCTGGCCGAAACTTCTTACTTTGTACTTTGCCAGCACGTCGGGTCTGTCTAGGAAATATGTTATTCTCCTGAACCCTTCAGCTTCACACTGAGTCACCAGGGCACTCCCCGAGACGTACAGTCCCTTGAGTTTTAGGTTTGATTTCGGGTGAATGGACACTTCAGTCTGCAGTGTAAAGGGTTCTCCTGCTTTCTGGGGAAGAACTGCTTTACTTATGATCAAACTGCCGTCGCTGCCCAGGCGATAGCCTGCTTCGCCTTCCGCCACTGCATTGCTGTCGCCTATATGTTTCACTTGCTTTCCGTTTACCATCAAAGAGGCGAGGTCTAAGTCGTCTCCATTTAAGACGAGGTCTGTAGGGGGAGTACCTGCCACTCGCTGCATAACTATCGTCGCTGACACCTGCAAGACACCAAGCACTAAAGCCTTGAGCTACAAACCGTAAATCGACTGTACACATTCTCAGCTCTAGGAGGAATTCAGAAATGACTGACCTTTGTGTTTGTTTCTTCTAGGAGGAAGCGTAAGTCTACAGAATCGACGGTGTAGTCTGAGGGCTTGTATTCATCTCTGAACTTTTCCCCCGGCCGGCCCCTTTGTTTGGGTGTCATGGCAGGCAATTCTGACCGAGTTGTGTCGCCGTCTGAATCACGAGGCTTCGCCGTTTCTGTGGGTTCAGTGGTGTCTTGGTTTGGGAATGCATGCGATTCTGCCTCCGTCCTACTGATGCTCGCGCGCTGGTGTTCGCCGTCTCCCCTCAGCGCGTGCGGTGAGGGATCATCTGCATCTGCATGCTGCTCACTCTCCCCTGCAGAAGGCAAGTAACCGTCACGCAACTCTTCTTCCTCCTCTCTTTTTTCCTCGCCGAGGGAGCTGGCGGCTGCAGCCGCTTGAATGCGTGGGAGCAGCGAGAAGGAAAAGAGTGCTCCCGTTGCATTCAAAGAGGGGGTGGGAACTTCTACGAGCCCTCTTCTCCAAGCATGGGGGGAGGACGGACTGAGCAGCGACGGGAGCAAAAAAGGAGCTGCGGCGTCCAAGTAGGGATTCGAATCATCTCGCACTATGTACCCTAGACAGCCTAGCAAGAACGTCCAAACAAACACAGTAAAGCCCAGTGCCGGGCGTCGAAAATAGGAATCTATTAAAGGGCGTCTGTTCGTCAGGATAGGAACAGATCAACTGCTGCTCAACAAGCCGAGGACGAGCGTCTGTCTTCTGCTGCTGCACTGTATTGTGTAAGCAAACCAGGATGCAGAGGGGGCACAGCAATAGTGTAATAAGTATTGCAGTTGTGTCTTTTTCTGTTTGTTGTGGAACTGACTATTTTTCGGTCCGCCGGATACTTCATGAAGGACATGCGCTGCAAGGAAGCCGAGGTGAATTGCAAACAGCCTCATTGTATCGCCGACGGGACAGATTCAGGCCAGGAATGTCAATTATATCACAAAACAATACATAGAAAACAATTAGGCATTACCTTCCACATTTTAGTGTCTACTGATTGGCGGTTTGACTGCCCGCTGCACCGGCTCACCACCGGTCATCTCAGTACCGGAGGTGACCTTCGGGTGCCGGTGTCCGGGGGCATTGCGTTCCGTCAAAATTGTGAGGAGGGAAGCTGCATATAAAAAGAATAATTTTTGTACGAAAAAAATCTGAATATATAACGAGCTCTTAGAAGATGTAACTGACACTGCAACGAGGTATACAATTAATTGCATCCCCCCCGATGCCTGCAAAGCACACAGGTGCAAATCGGAGGTAAATCTAAGCTGGAAGCCATGATGAGCCACTTTTGGCGCCTCATCTGTGTAACTATGCAGACAGTAATGCGAAGTGAACCGAGGCAAAATGATTAACAAAGTGGTGCACGATTGGCGCACCTCACGAGGAACGTCAGCGTGACTCTGTGCTCATGCTGAAGTTCCTCGTGAAGTGCGCCAGTCGGCGGTAGGAGAAATTGTCAGTACTTTTCTACACTCTAGTCTCACATCGGCCTAACTCGCTGGTAGCTGTTGCTCACCTACAACTATGCTTCGGCACGAACCCAACATATATATATATATATATATACATATATATATATATATATGCATATATATATATATTACAGGTGTCAAAAAATGAAGAAAGTCGAATATTGATTTTGCCGTCGAAGCACAGGAAAGAAATATAAAAAGCAGGTAACCTTTGAGAACCACTGCATTGGCCCATTCTTTCGTTCTGTCCCCGTTCCTGCAACTACGCTTCACTGTGGCAAAAAGCGTTACGGGCTCGACAAGGCTGGGCTGTGCTTCAGTGTTTGTGAACTGCAGCATTGTGCAATACAAAGAATTGGATATAGGTACGCACATTATATATATATACACACTTGTATACGCATATATGTGCATATATAGCTTCGTTTGAAACGACACAAGCTAAAATGAGAACAACAGCGCATGAAGAATCCTCTTTTCCTTCTCCAGTCGCCCTTTGGCACAAATGTCATGCGTTCTGTTCAGCAGAAGGTCGAATCCTTGGCATCGTTGCAGTCGCCAACAACCATTTGAGTCTAAAAACTCTTGAAACGTAGAGGTGCGCCAGAAGAGGCAAATGAACTAGCAGGCTGAACGTAAAAGGGGCCGATTATTCGTGAACAAACGAATTCTCTACATTCTCTACCCCTAACGAAGGAACTCTCAGCAGGCTGATGGAAGTTACCCTCAACGTACGAATACGTTGGCTGGCTGCGGCCAGCTCCAGCCAGCTGAGAGCCGTGCCTTGTAGCTGAAAGTTGAGCTCAGAAACTGTTTACCGCCAAAGGAAAGGCACAGCTGCGTGGCGTTCCCCAGGCCTACCAAATTCACACAAATCGCAAAAAGAGAGTCCTTCAAACACAAAAACAGCATACGCATATATATATATATATATATATATACACGGACGGATTTCGTACATACGTATGCGCGTATTCGCGCATAAACCTATATATATATATATACTCATATACACATATATATATACTATACACATATTTGTATATGCCTTGTTTGACAAGGCATATACAATATATATATATATATATATATATATATATATATGCATACACATGAATATGTGTATGCATGCATATACACACTAGGCTTTCGTACATATCTATTCTAGGCTTTCGTGCCTTGCGCGGGCGGGTCAGACGCCTGCGCTCTGCAGTCCAGTCCCTCGATATCTAGCAGGTGGGAAGCTGCAGAGGGCAAAGCAACACCTAGCGACAAAAACATGAACAGCAAGGCGGAGAGTTTATCGAGGACCCAGAACAAGCACCCTAACCCGTGTGGGCCCTACTCAGCACCTCATTCGGAACCCGAATACGAAGCTTCTGCTTGCCTGTTAGCGTCCGAAGCACCTTCTCTCCTTTCGCAGCCAAAATCGTCTCCACGTCGCTCTCCTCTTCCCCAAACCATTTAAGACGATCCGCCACCAAGTGAACTGCGCCCACACAGACCCTAAACTCTACATGTCAAACCCTGTCGCTCTATCCGGAGGCTGTGCTTGTGAGTCCTCCGCAGAAAGCGGCACTCCCCGTTCTGTCGCTGAAGTATGCAAACACAAGCGAAGCCAAAAAATCTACAACTAAGGGCCGACCTACGGTTGCTGCAACCGGGACACTGCACTATGACCACCCCTTGCGTGTAGGCCACCTGCAGCCACAAGACAAAAAGTATCCCTCACAAAGTTGCTCCCACAGTCAGTGCGGCTGTAGTCGTTGTTGCTGTAACCGTTCCTGCATTTGTTGCTGGTGTACTTGTTACCGAACTCGTGGCTGCACTGGCGGCCTCCGCTACATGCCGCTGCATTTGTTGTTGTTAGGCTCTGCCTAAGTGGATGATTTTGCCTGACCTTTGAGAACTTCTTTGCGGACCTCTTGTTGCACTTGCAGCATGTGAACACCAACGTCATATGACCGTCCCGCGCATTCTCCGTTCCTGGGATCCGCGATAAGTCAAACCGGACCTCAGGGGCCCCTTCCAACTCTCCTGCAGGCCATTCTGCGCTTTCAGGGGCCACTTCTACTGCTGATGTTGTCACTGGGGGGGCCCCAGGAGGTACCCTTTGGGGCCCTGTGCTCAGCAGACAGCGCGGGGGCCCCTGGGAGTGGTGGTAGCTGAGAGGGGATGAGAGAGAGACGTTTGGAAACGCTGCATTTCTGCCGAACGCACGACAAGTGGTCAGCTGCCTCGATGGTGTCTTTGGCGCTCCTGCTGCCGCTGTTGCTTTTGCTGCCGTTTCTCTTGCTGCTACTGGTACTGCAGATGTTGTCATAAGTGCAGCCGGTACTTGATGTAGCGTAAGAGGCCCTCCACATCCTGTGCTTGGCCTTCGTCGCGTGTGGAGAAGGCTTACAACGTTACTTGCTGGAGGGGACCACGAAGAAGCAGCGGCCCCTCGGAGGGCCCCTACCGTCCCCCTTCCAATCATCTGTATTGCGGCGGCAGGCGCGCTGTGGGAAGATAACAAATATCTGTCAGGGAACCTAAAGAAAGCCCGGGTGGCCATCTGGGTGGAAGCAGGAAGAAGAGAACGGCCTTAATTTGAGGGTCACTAAGCACAGGCCACAAAAACTGGGAAATGGGGGCTGGAATGAACCTGAAACACCTTTAGATCCACCAAGTCAAAACAACCCAACAAAAAGGCAAATGGCAACAGGTAACGACCAATATCGGTCCGCCAAATAGCTGCAGCGGATGGACCAACAAGGGCCCCAAAACTGCCACGGGGGCGAGAAGGGGGAGGGCGGGGGGGGAGAAGGGGCAGGGGAGTGGCGCAAATGTACTCTTCAAAGAAAAGATATTTTGAAGGCCATTTAAAGAGGACAAAATATGTCTATTAGTACCCTCTCCTTTCTCCTGCGGGTGCAGGTGGGTTGGGCTCCCGCCAACTGCAGTATGGGCCACCCTCGGCCGTATATGTAGGACATCTTCCAGTGGTGTGATGAGTTGATAGTTCGCGCCTTCCACCTAGACTCACGCTGCCAAAGAGGAGAGAGAAATGCATTCATATCCATCCCGTCCTCTTGGTGTTCTGCGGAAGGGCCACTTTCCGTAGCGGCCTTCAAGTTCTGGCCAGCAGGTCAACAGACCCCTCAATAACTCCCCTGTAGAGGGGTTGTCGACTCTCATGGCCCGTTGGTGCCCGAAAGGAGAGAGGGAAGCATAACTATAGGCTCTCTGCTTCCCCTCACATGGCTGCAGGAGAAGTGGCAATCGCTGCTGGCGTCGCTACACACTGCGAGTAGGCTTCGGAGTTCATTAGAATGGTATATGCTGGCGTCCCCTCCCTCCCCGTCGCGTTGGGCGCACAAGGGCCCTTTCAGGAGCAGCAGCAGCAAGACCCACTGCAAGGACAAGACCAGGAGCAGCTGCTGAAAATGCAGCAGGAGAAGCGTGAGCGACGCCGACAGAAGCAGCAGCGGCGGCGTCAGCAGCAGCAACAGGGCTTTTGCCGCCCTGAATCGGTCTCTGTACCCCCAGAGCTACTGGGCATCGCATTGGAGAGGCAACATGTCGACTCCATCTACGCGAAAATCGCCCCCCACTTCAGCCACACAAGGTCCCAAACGTTGAACCTTAAGCACTAAACCATAAGCCCTTGACCCTGAACCCTCACATAAGCTTCACTGCTTCATGGTGATCCCTACACCCTGCACCCTAAACGCTTTCCCAGTAGGCAACCCCACACGCACTGCATTATATCGCCGGCCTCCGCTTCGTCCCCTTACGAGCCTTCATATCAAAACAATCCAAGAAAGACGGCATGAACAATGAGGTGTATGTACAGAAATCGTCCTTGGCCCCGCGTAGCCGCCTTCATAGAATCTTTGCCCCCCGACGCCCTCTTGGTAGACGTAGGATGCGGCAACGGGAAGTACCTCCACTGCAGGCCCAGCTGCAGCAGCAGCAGCAGCAGCAACGACAGTAGCAGTTCCAGCCCCTACAGCTGCTTATCCATAGGCCTTGACCGATCCCCAGAACTGCTGAACTGCGCCTTGGAGCATCCGCAGGGCACCCTGGGGCCCCGCCTACTGCGGGCCGACTGCTTGCACACGGGCATCAGAGACGGTGAGGGTTTATCACTTAGGATTTACGGTTTAGGTTTTGGAGCTCACGTGAGGCCTGCAGGACCCATTTGATACGTGTGCGTGAATCATCAGAAGTCGCTGACGGAGTCATTTGCATTGCTGTCCTTCACCACTTGACCACTGAAGCGAGAAGGTAAGATAGCTTGCCGCTGCTACTGCTGCCGCTTCTGCTGCTGCCGCTTCTGCTGCTGCCGCTGCTGCTCCTTTGGCTGCTACTTCTGGCGTCAACGGTGCTGCTGGAGTTCATGCTGCTGCATAAAGCACGGTCAAGAGGTTGATGCTATGGCAGTGAGGACTGTGCTGGGAGGCGCTTGGCTTTGTACTGCTATTCGTCCTAGTGCGTTTCTGCAGTAATTGCTGCAGCAGTTGCTGTTGCCGGTGCTGCTAGCGGTGTTTTTATTTTTTAGTTGTTGCTACAATTAGAGCCGTCGCCGCAGAAGGTGCTGCCATTGTTGCTTCTTTTGGCTATGTGAACAGGCAACAAGCTTTGAGGGAACTGGCACGCATAACGCGCCCTGGCGGCCGCATCCTGATATATGTGTGGTATGGAGACCTCAAATCCTAAGCCAAAACCTTCGACCCCAACACCATCCCCATACTATAAACCTAACACTATTTCAATTTTTAGTCCTAAACCCTGAACGCTATTGCTTAGCGTAGCTTCAATATCAAAAGCAACTCAGGCTGCTGTATACAAAGCGAGCTCCTTCACGCGGTTATGGACCTTCAGGGCTCAGGAACACGAGGCGGGTAGCGTCGGAGAGCGCAAATTCCCTAGCCAAGATGGTCAGGAACTGCTGCTGCTGCTGTTGCACTGCCCTGTTTCCGTTACTGCTGGCGTCAGTCTTTCCGTTGCTGCCGCGTGCGATTGGTGTGTGCGTGCGTCTGTGCACTGGCTCGCGTCTTTCTCGTTGTGCCTGCTGCTGCTGCTGCCGCAGTATTGGTGCCCTGGGTGTATCAAAAGCACTACGATCAGGCTCGTGAGTTACGCAAGACAGGCGGCAGCGCTGCAGCAGCAGCTTCTGAGGGACCTGCGGCAGCTTCTGGCTCGCCGGCGTCAGCGTCTGTTGCGAGGGAGGAGACATTCTATCGGTACTACAGAGTTTTTAGCCGAGAGGACCTGCTGGGGCTATGCGCTGAAGAAAAACGAGTGAAGGTTCTCGACTGCTACAACGACACTAACAACTGGGCGGTGCTGCTTGAAAAGCTCAGCACCTGACACAGATATAGACACGTTTTTGCTTGTCTCAGGGGAACCGGAAGGCCCGACGATGCGCCCTTTTGCGCGTTCTGCGGCTTTATATGGACTCAGAGGGCCTGTAGAACGGGCCAACTGACTGTACCCCGCAGCGAAGGGAGCTGAAGGGACAGGCAAAGAGCACCACACCGATCTGGTGGAAAGAGCTGCAGTCGGCGGGCAAAGCGTTTCGATGGTCTTGCCCACCAAAGGGAAACGAAACGTTCCTCGTCACTACGAAGAGAGACGGAAGCGCTGTATACAATGATCCAGGTGTCGTTTTTTACTTGCTCCACGGGAGTCCACACAGGTAGTGAAACTGACGATACCGAAGATAGACACAGAGTAACAAAAGCGAAAAGCCAAGCCAAGATGGCGTAGGAATAGGCAGGCGGAGACAGAGAGAGGACGCACCATGAACGGATTGGCACTTAGACTAAGGACGCGATAGAGGTGGCCCAAAGTAGAAGGGAGGGTAGGGAGACAGAGAAAGAAACAACACCATCACTACGCGCAAGTACAACGGCAAATGCAACGGTAATAGGAAATACACGCATAGAAGTAAGCCGGTTTTGTTCTGGTTGATAGCATCTTCTGGACTATGCTGCTTCCGAGCTGAGCGAGGCACGAAAATGGGGCTGCCAAATGGAGGCATTTTAAGTATGTGGAGCTGTTGGGAAAGGACTGTCCTGAGAGAGATACGTTGGCAGGTTTGCACCCGGTAAACATGCGCCTCCACATTTGGACCTGAGACACTGAACTCAAGGTAGTATTACTGGACACTGACGAAGTTCGTACTGGTTGCTTTTCCCGATTGAACGCTTCCGTACGTATCTGCCCCATAGCAGCACCTGGTCATTTGTGCTTGAAGATTCAACGCTTCCTTATTCATTGAGCTATGGAAAAAAACTGTTCGCTTGCGCGTGAAGGCTGAGTGTGCAGTTAACGCGGCTCGCTTAGCTCTGACCATATTCTCCATGACACTGGCAGCTACGAACACCTCCTTTCTAGGGCATGGTAATCGTTAGGAGGACAGCAGCTGCATTAGAATCAGCGGCAGTGGAATATAACTTTTTCTACGCCTGGGTGTGGAAGGATACCATTTGTCATGGGCTGTTACGCACTGCATCGTGCGGTGGCCTGCCAATAGAAGAAGCTGAAGTTTTCCTGCTGCGTACGGTAGTTCACTATTATATCTGATGCATACACTGTCATCACCATAAACAATCGTCACCATGAACAGGTGTTCTACTTCACTAGCTGTAAGAAGCCCGAAGAGCTGGACGAGTTGATTTGACCGCACATTTGCAGGATACATTTGCCGTTGGGGCCACAGCGAGCAACGACCATCTGCAGGAGCTGCAGGAAGCAGGTATAATTTCACCAAAGACATTTCCTCCTTATTAAATCACGTGCTATTGAAAATGAAGGACGCCGAGAAGGCAGAAAAATGCCAGCGTGCGTTCGTTGCAGTTCCCATGCGTGCTGCAGCGAAAGGTAGACTGACACAGAATCATGTGATGCTGCAGATTTAGCCCCAGGTTCCCCAACCGCAGCGGTGTGACCAGCAGAGGTGCCACTTATCAAGCCGAAACCAACCAGACGCTGAAAAGCGTGGACAAATACCCACAGACCCTAGAGTACCAGTACATTGTTCGCCTTTCCCGTTGTTCCCGCCCCTCCCTGTGCTTGACGTGCTGATCGTTGGCTGGTCGGTAAACGCGAGATATCTGCCAAGGACCATTGGACCTACCTTCCTTGCAATCCATGTGGTAGACTGAGGGACAACGCATTCTTTGGAGACTTCACATATAAACCATTCTTGGTATTCACTTTGTGCCGGTGCCCCCAGTAAACACCCAATTTCCGTTGCATAGACAGGAGCTGCTGCTGCTTTTCGTACCTAGGCTTCGGTTTCGCGACAGTCCGAAATGGAACATTGCTAGTCCTGGTTGCTACGTGTTTAGGATTCTGCTGAGTCCGGGCCGACCAGCTCCAATGCCGTAGCATATGCGGGGCAAAAGCTATACTTTGACAAAAGCGAGAGGGGAGACCTTTATTCTGTATTCAGTTTGCAGGTACTTCGTACATGTGATACATGTTTCTCTTGTCGTTGCACTATTACGGCCTACAGGAGACAAGCTTCGATGACCTCCATGTTAGCCAATGCGAAACGGTTAGCCGGGCAGATTCAATATTTGATGCGATGCCAAATGAACGGCTTGATAATATGGCTGAACATTCTGTTGGGAAAGATACTCATGGGATAGAGATACATATTCACATTTACAGCCAGCAAAGATACGTCTCAAACATGAGTCTCCAGGCGTACAGCGGAAGCTTCTCAAATGGGATTTACAGCGTCATGCCCAAGTCCTGGGAAATCGTCCCGGTTTCGCTTTCCACTAAATCTGCAAGCGATACAAACGCGAGCAACGGTTTTTTCGGGTAGGCTTTGTTGCATTTCAAGCTCGCACACCCACGGGGCTCTGAACAAGCGCTCGCCGCTCGCGTTTGCTGATTGAAAGCTTCCACACATACCTAGCGCTGACAGTAATTTACTCTATTACAGCAACAACGGAGAAGAACAGCAGACGTCTTGCCTGACATGCGTGAGAGGGACAGCAGTTGCATTGGGATCAGGAGCAGCGGAATATGATGCTGTGCCCTCCGTGCTGTGCAAGGATACACTTCGTCATCGGCTGCTATGCAATATGTGGAGCAGCGGGCTATCACATCAGTAGAAACCGGAATTTTCCCCGCTCCTAATGGCATTGGGCTGCCCAATCTGATGCATGCCCCATCACCAGCTTAAACAGATGTTCAGGACCGCAGTAGCTGCCGGTTTCCCAAGGGGTGGTGCTGTTTTGTAGAGAGCAGCTGCAGATCCGGTACAGCTCAGCGCCTGAAGGCCCCGGATTGCAAGGAAAATGCCACCGTAATGGGCCTCGTACGGCGCAATCACCGGCGGTCGGATGCTGCTCGCCGCCTCCACCTGCTGCTGCTGTTGCTGCTATTGCCACAGCCATTGCTTCCGTTTGCGCACTTGCCGCAACGATTGCTTCTTTGAGGCCCATGTGAGCGCCTCTGGATGGAATGCGTCTGGTTGTTGTATTGCCTGCAAGATGGGTAGGAAGACGCCCTGGGAGAGCCCAGCGGAGACAACTTTGGCTTTTGATTCTCGGTCCTGGTCTCACCTTTGTCGTTGCTGACAATCGTGCCCCGCTTCATCGGCGTCAGTTGCAGCAATGCCAGCAATAGCAACAATGGCAACGGCAGCATCAAGAGCAGCTGCTGCAGCAGCAGCCACCGCCGCAACTGTAGCAGCTGTTGCAGGAGCGGCTTTACATTCATGAGCAGGCACCGAAGGTGGGAAGCCACTAGTTTAATTTGATGTTTGTGTAGCTTTCTACTCGTCAAGGCACATGTGTGTTTCGCGTGGCTGCCGTTGATTCCTAGCTGAGCAGCACGTTAGCACCTCTCCTTGTGCAGAGACGAAAAAACCGTCGCTTGGCAGGTGCGAGAAGGGACGTCGCGCTTCTGGGTATTTCCTCCTCAGGGTCTCCGTACTTGTGGCTATTTGGTTTGTCGCTGCATTGCTGCGCTAGAGCCAGTGGGCCCACTAGAAGATACTAAACGGCCTGGCACTGCAGATTCAATTTGTGATGAGGTGCAAAGTTGAACTCCCGTATGAACTGTTTGATGATATGTCGGATAATGCTGTTTGGAAAGGTACCATGGCGATAGACGTACGCCTACATGTTCGCAGCTGACAAACATATGCCTCCACTTCCGGAGCTGACTTCCACTTACTGCAAAGCGCCACGACTGAGCCTCAGATCCTTGAAGCCATTTTGTGTTGCGTGTCACTGCACTCGCACGCGGCGCCCACTTGAGTAAGTATGCTCCGCTGGATTCCAAGGCCACACGAATTTTGGGCTCTAATCAAGAGCTGGCCGCTTTCGTTCGCCAATCGAACGCTTCCACGCAAAACTGGCTCCCGGCTGGAGCTGCGATTGAAGTAAGCCTATACTGCAGAAATAATGTAAGAGAGCTGCTTGTCTTTGTGACAAAGCTGCCTACCGAGGCGCTGTGGCACGGCTGGAGCGGCACCAGTGGAGCTCCATGCACACAACCCAGGTGGAGCGCAGGATCCTCATGGACCATTACAGCGCTAAGGAGTTTACCGTGCGGATGAAGCATGGAAGGCAACTCGCTGCACTCGCACAACCTTGCGTCGCTGTGTCGTTGCATCTACAGTGGTACTGTCCACTGATGCACAAGAAGTGGGAGTGGGCAGCCACGAGACCCGTGTTAATAAATATGGGCTGTAGGGCTTCACGCAACCTAGTTGGCGCCACGGCACCTTGAAAGCTTACATTTTCTTACTGAAAGGCGCAGCTCATATTTTGGGGAGTAGGTATCGAGGGTAGAGTTCTGAGACTGTGATGCGGTCTCTGTTTCCACTGTCAGCCTGCACGTTGTCTCGTGTGCGTCAGTCTGTCGGACCGTAGCCGCTCAAACTCCGCTCCCTATCTGCCTGCCTCCTCCGCATGCTTTTCTCTCTAACGCCTGTCCGCATATGCTTATCTGTGTGCCTCTCTCTATTCGCGCGTTTCTACTGTTGTGCAGTTTTCTGTCTCTTTCGCTCATCCCTCCGAAGTTCTACAAGACGAGTTGCATCTCGAGCACCGCTGACTCTTTTTGACAGAGAACTCGTCAGTGCCCCTCAGACTTGACCCCGTTCCTTCCCCATGCCTTCACAGAACGGCGCCAACGAACTGCAGACAGCTGAAGGAGCGCCCCATACGACATCCATCGGCAAACCCAAGGTGACGCCATCGGCAGCAACTCTGGCTGCTGCTGCGGCTGCCGCGGGTGGTCCGGCAGATATCAAAAGGATAACCAGAAAAGGCCTCACTAGTAGGGGCTCACTAGGTAGCTTGATGCTAGCCACGGCTCAAGGCGCCTCATAACACAGCCGCCCATCAGTCCCACGGGCCTCTCAGCCACCAACATGCTGCTGCAGCGAAGGCAAAAGCAGCAGGTGCACGAAGCACCAGCTGCTCCACGTGCTTATCCCCTTGCTCTCCTCTTTGGTGCAGCAGTAGCACCGAAAAGCAGCGACAACAGCGAAAAGCATCTGCTTCACTTTTTCGCTCCTAAGAAGGCGGCCATGTTGCTTAGCTGCTGCATCCAGCTAATGCCTCCTGCTGGCCCCTCTTGCTGTTGCTGCTGCTCCGGCATTGTGGTCGGAGAACTACCACTTTGCTGCTGCGGCGGCTGTTGGTGCCAAGACTGCTGCTGCTGCTGTTGCTGCTGCCACGGCTGCTGTGGCTGCTGCATTGGAGGTACTTGCTGTTGCTGCTGCACCGGAGGCACTTGTTCTTGCTGCTGCTGCAGAGGATCTGGCGACCACTGCTGAGGCTGCTGCTGCTGGGGCGGCTGCTGTTGCCAGGACTGAGTCATTCCAAACTGTTGTTTAGCTTGCGTAGTCTGCTGCTGCTGCGCCCAGCCCTGCTGGAGCTGAGGCTGCTGCCATGACGGCTGCTGCTGCTGATGCTGCTGCTGCCAAGGTTGCTGCTGCGGCCACGCTTGCTGCGGCGCAGATCCCGGCAACTGCTGTTGCTGCCACTGCTGCTGTGGCTGCTGTTGCTGTTCGGGCGCTGCATGCGACGCCCCTGCAGCAGACCCCGAGTGGGGGGAGGGGCCAAGAAGTCCAATCATTCTGAATATCACACGGCAACATGCAGCCTGGAAACGGTACTTGTGCTGCAGGACAGCATAATGCTTCTGCTGCTGATCATGATTCTACTGAAAAATGGGTCAGGCAACGCTAGCAAGTGTGCAGGCAGCAACTGTTGCACTGGGGAAGCGACTAAAATGTTGGCATCCCCAATACGGTGTTACAGCATCAGCGGCAGCAGCTGCTGCTGCAGCAAGGGAAGCAGCAGGCGTACACTGAGTTGCTGGCCCTGAGGTGCTGCGGGAAGAGATATCTGTATTTGTCGAAGACCTGGAATCCCGGCGGAACGAAGTACAAAAACACACCGCCCGGCAAACACGCAACGCCAGCCTGCAACGAGAAGAAGAGCAACACAGCCGCCGAACCAGCTGCAGCTCAACTTGCAGCAACAGCAACAACAGTTCTGGCAGAAGTGCCTGCAGCCGATGCTCTAGCAGAAACAACACCAAGGATTCAAGAACGGTTATAAACAGAATCATATTCGTCGTAGCATCTACAGCGGCAAAGGCTCAAGTTCCGTCGTCGCTGTAGACGTTGGACAAAAATGACGGCACGTCAGCGGGTCCTGCAACACCAGGACATGGGGTATTGAGGAAGAAACCAGCGGCAACTGAAGGACCAGTAGCGTCCACAGCAACAGAAGCAGCAACGCACCCGTTCTTTGGATCGGAAGTACGACAGATATTCGTTGAAAGAAGCTTCGTTCTCGGGTGAAGCCGGTTGCAGCAACACAGCCGCATCCATGGGTTTAAGGGCTAACTCCTCACACTTGCTGCGATGGCTTACGTTCAACATACTTTGCAGCTGCGCGCAAACGAACCCTGAACCCTAAACCCTAAGCCCTTTAACCAGCGTTTCATGCCTACAGATGCAGAAAAAGGGGCATATCAACAAATAGGGAAATAGTAAAACCAGCAGCAGATGGATGACCAGCAGCAGCAACGCCAGCAGCAGCAGAGAGTTCCGTACCTGCTGCATCTCCAGTGGGACCTCCCCCTGTAGACAAAGGGCTGTGACTGCAACTTTCTTTCTGTCATTGCGCCCCAAAGTCCACCTCCACTGCGAGCCCGCGCCACACGGAGTCCCTGCAGACCCGGCCCCTGTTGCGGCGGCAGGGAGGCCCGAAGCCGCACCAGGAGCAGCAGCAGGGGAAGAAGAAAAATCCTTAGGAAAGGGAAAGCCCTGCCGTGCCCGGTGCTGCTGCAGCAGAGGGAACAACAAAAGCGGCTCGCGAGCTACCGGAACCTCTAGCTGCTGCTGCAGTTGCTCTGGAGGCTGCTGCTGCTGCTGCTGGGGCGGTGGCTGTGGCTGCGGCGGAAGCATGAGACCATTGTGGACGTCCCTGCGATACATCTGCAGCAGCAAACAAGCAGCAGCAAGCCCTGCGGTTGTGTTTATTGATAACACAAATGCAGCATGCAGAGGGCCCTGTGCATGTGTCCCCCGACGTTCCTTTGTCGCTTTCTCTAACAAGGTCGTCGCTATCGTGGTCACTTGTCAAAATACACCTCAAATGCACCTCCACTGTACACGCGCACCACGCATCGAGCTCCTAGTCATACAGCGAAGCGGTAGGGTAAAACAGCGGACAAACGCCCTTTCACCCTTCTTACGAGCACGTAATGCCGAACTGGTCACTAACACGGCCTTAAAACGAAGCATGCTCATGCACCTGAGTCTACTAGCCTCTCGGCCCGCCTGAACGCCCTAACAAAAGCTGAGAGCCCCCCAAAGCATCGAAGACACCTCCGCAAGAGATCGCCTCTGGGTGGCTTACCGCGTCCTCGTCGTGTCCCCAGTCCCTTATCCGCGGATCCCCATCCCGCCGCTCGTCGTCCTGCGCGCAAACCGTAAATCATGAACACTAACTTCTAAGGCCCTTGATCCAGGTCCTTTCATATCATATCCTCACCCTCCTCATGCCCAGCATTGAGAGCTCGTTACCGGCACTCTTAAGGGCTCATAGGGCTCATAGTTTGATCTCTCCACTAGTTCAGTTCGTGGGTGTGGGACCCTTACCACCGGCCTCATGGGCTGCCTGCCCCTTCTGTCCCAGTCTCTGTCGCTCCGGTTTCCGCCTCTTTCTGTGTGCTGTTTACCCCTGTTGGGCCGCCTGCTGCTGTTGCTGCTGCTCCCCGCAGCAGCGGCATGAAGTTCGCTGCCCGCCTCCGAGCCTGCATCATCTGCTCCGCCGTTTCGGCCCCCGGCGCGTCCCCGTTGGTACTCTACGCGGACACAGCGGCCCACTGCATCACCGCAGCAGCAGCAGACACAGCAAGAAAAAAGTGCACATACATGGCAAGCTGCCTGAGTGCTGAAATAGACGACGCCTGGTAATCACTCGACCATCCAGACAGGTGCCAGACAAGAAGGCACAGCAGCAAGAGCGCAAGCGTCACAGGTTCCCGAAACCTCGCTAGCAACTTGAAGGAGATGAACGTGTTTTCCTCCCCTCACTAAAGGTTTTTCCGTTGAGTGTTTCAAAACAGCGTCTGGCATCCTCTGCGTTTTTGTAGAGAACAAAGGCGTAAACGGCATTGGGCCCCACCCTTTGGTTGACCCTGAGGGCGACACTTTCGACCTCTCCGCATTGCGAAAAAAAGGCCCTCACGTCTGCCTCTCTTGCCTCCTTGGAAACGTTATGGATGTACAGATTGCGGCCCCCCGTTGAGCTTTGCCGCGGGGCACCCTCCGCACGACCCCGACCCTCTAAAGTCCACGACGGAGCCCCCCCAGAGGGAGCACCGCCGTCTTCCCCATTACCTGCTGACCCAGGAGCTACTGCAGGGGGGGCACCCAATACGGGCGGAGCTAGCCCTGTGCCCCCCCCGCCACCCAACAGGGCCTGAGGTGGGTACGGCAAGCCAGGCAGCAGAGGAGGTAGGGATCCCCCAGCGTTGGAAGCCGCTTGAAAACCGCCAGTGGGGAGACCTCCTACGGGTGGAGGGCCCCCCGGTAGAGGAGGGGGCCCTCCAGAGAGGCCCGCTGAGGTGCCATGGGGTGCTTGGAAGCTCCCGTCCATCTCGGCGGGCAAGGGGCCCCCTGTGGGTGCAAGAAGGGGCCCCGACAAAAGAATTGACACGCGTCTAGGTGGCAGGAGAGGAAGCGTAACTGATGGCCCCTACGGAGCCCGATTGGGGACCGAAAGACAGCAAGAACAAGAGGCTGGGGTGTAGTGCGCAGGCAGTACAATGGTACTCAAATTGGACCTCTAGAGGTCTATACGGCAGAGAGAGCACAAATAATATACTATTAGAAATAAGTAAAACCACATTAGATAAGAGATAAGGTTATCAGGCCAAGAGTGCTCTGCGGCTACCCAGGATCTGGGGCTGGCCGTGAGACTGGCACTGTAGCCAAGGCGACCCGCAAGGGGTCAGCAAGGGCATTATTGCAATTACTCTTTCTCCTTCGGGTACATTGGACCCGGGATACGAATCACAAACTGTTATTTGATATTTTAAGAATATTTCAAGGCTCATGCACTGAGTGTAGAGTCTATATATGGAGTATGCACCTAAATCGGTAGTCTTGGTTCCGAGAAGTAGTGGCAGCTGAGAGCGCTGTTCGGTACAGCAGCGTTAGGAAGCGCTTGTGCATGCGAACTTGGGCTCTCCCAGAAAGAAGTCTAGGCGTGAAGACACGTTGTTATGCAGCTACAAAAAGCCAACGTCTCGAAAAAAGCATTCATTAATCGTGCGCAACTCACACAGTTTCATGGAAACAGAGCAAAAGCAAACGGTATGCGAAAAGGTGCTGTGCGCGATCTGCAATAGAGGAGAGTCGACAGGTCACCGTTCAAACAGATCACCATTAATGCGTCACACACCAAAATATACATTTAAAGAATTACCAACTCCATACTTATTATTTTTAATGGAGTAGAGTGGAGTAACTAGTTGTCCATGTGGCGGTGAAGGAGCCGTTCTGTGGCTGTGCAGACTCGCGCAGTGTGATGTCCAGTATAGCACAGTCCAGTATAGCAAGGGTATCTATCCAGTACACGCATGCGCCTCTTGCTCATATCAAAAACAAGAGATGCGCTAAGCATTACTGCATAGATGGCGACTTGGCATGGTATCAGACGAAGCGTGAACATCTCCATTTACATGTTCGAGTTTCGCTTCACGCGAGTTTTTGCGCAAAGTGCACGACCATCCTTAAGCGGGACATGGTGGGGTCACGAAAACAATGAAGCGAGTGAAGAGGCCCTCATAATGAACTAGGACGCCCTCCTCAAAAGGCGAATATGCCTTACTTATCTGGAATGCGAGAAGCAAAGGCGGGGGAACTCTAGTGATCTTAGCGCAGCTCAGCTCCTACGTACAATCCCTTGCCGACTATCTACACGCATTGTAATCCATCATCAGAAAGACACCGAAGCACATATTGAAGAGCCAAGAAGCCTCTTTGTGCGTTTTTCCCTCAACGGAAAGGAACTCCCCGTTGGTGAATTCGTATTTAGCTCGGTGCGCTAGGGACCGCTGCCAGTGTGCTCTACCACATCAAGCTCTGGGCCTAAGTGCAGCGCGCCCTAGGCCTGATCTGGCAAGGAGTTTAGTTTTCTGGTTTGGTTTATTTATGCCTCCCTTTTTTTGCGCTTGTTCTCAACTGTATGACCTGCAATGGCTGTCTCCGCTGCACATTGTAGCAGCACACTATACGAACACTGGGAAAGCCGGACTCGGGAAGAGTCTCTATTCCCCCATCCTTTCTGGACGGGGTCTCAATGGATTTCATTGTAGGTTTTACGAAAGCAGTAGTGGGAGTATGCCCTGTACAGGCTGCCCACGCCAATCATATTTTCAACAAGATTCTCCAACAACGGCGAAAACCTCCAGTGATTATGTCTCCTAAGAACCATTCCAGCATACCTTCTTTCGCTTCTCAAGACCACACGACAGCTCACCCTTCAACATTTTCCTTGCACGCCTTCTATGTGCTGTTGCTTGCAGTTATTTTTAGAACACTCTGCAGAAGCAAGTGTAGCCGGGGTCGGGGTCCACGGTTCCGTAGCTCAGTAGGCTAGAGCGTGTGGCTGTTAACCACAAGGTCGCAGGTTCGAACCCTGCCGGTACCGCCTTTTACCCATTTACCTGGATTAAAGGAGGATACAGCGAACCAGTCTGCCGCTCGTCCCAAAAGCTGCCTTCGGTAAGCTTGGCGCCAGTGTCCACCCGGCGCGTAATCGCACTCATTCTCTTCAGCGAGGTAAAACTCTTAATGAGGAGGAGACAGAG